CTGGCTTTCGCTGGCTCGTCCAAGCAAGACATAATGGCGCACGTCGGCTGGTTTGCCGAACCATCCGCGGAGCATTATATGAGACTGACTAAGGTGTTGAAAGCTAACAGCCCTGCAGGCAACATGGCAGCAGCCCTCAATATGACAGGAGGGGATGGGGCAGCTGTCACCAGTCTGATTCAGCTATATAAAGATCTAAACGATTTGAAGGGCTTTGTCCCGGTATGCGAGAAAGCAGTGTAATAGGGTGCACGCAAAGAATGTACATTGTATAATAATAAAACTCGTACTGAGCACATGATGTGGTAAGATTTTCATTTATTAGGAAACAGTCAGGACGGATGAAAAATTCGTTATAGGAGAAGAGGGTAGGGGGAAGGATAGGGAAGGATTGGGAAGGTTGGAATTTGGAAGGGTAGGACGACTCGGTAGAGCTTGGGGGGAGATGGAGGGACTGGGATGGGGACCTTTTTCCGCACTCCTTATCTCTCCATCTTCTGTCTGGGGCGTGGGGATGGGTGTGGCGGTGGGAATATTTCACTATTCGCACCGCTACACCTGTCCCCGCGCGCCACAGACAGGTGCCCAATTAGCACTATTTAGTAAGGGGACCAATCAGAGAAGACAAAGAAACAGGTGGGTATGCTAATGAGGGATAAGATATAAAAGGGGGAAAGAAACGACACAAATGCGCAGTTGGCCGGCGGGGGAGGAGAAAAGCAGGGGGGAAAATTGAGAGAATTGGGGATGGAGTGAATGGAAAGGAAGGCGTAGGGGATGGGTGGTCAACGGAGGGTATGGGAGGTGGTGAGGGAGCAGGGTGACAGTTTAATTTTGTCCCCACCCACCCACCCTCGTCGGTGAGGCTCGGATGAGCATTTTGGTGCCGCTCTCTGGACAGGATGGGGACCTTTTTTCCGCACTCCTTATCTCTCCATCTTCTGTCTGGGGCGTGGGGATGGGTGTGGCGGTGGGAATATTTCACTATTAGATACTGCACTCTCTTGCCAGCTACTGGTGAGGTATGATTTTGCCATAAAAGATATGCTTTGTTGTGTTCTTCCCACCTTTGGATGTTTCTCTAGGAAGAGTGCGAGGTGCATGGCATTACTGCTGTGCCTCTCCATGCGGACATGTAGGCTCTGTGTGCCTCGGTGTAGCAGGAAGGCATCAAACGGACCCTGTTTAGGAAGACAGTCATGATCATCGAATCACGTAGCCTGATTAAATTGCTTTATGGTTGCCACCCGCCCAACATTGTTGTTTCTTCCATATGTGCAAGCCCAAGAAGACAGGTCACTTAATGCTTGTCTTTTAAATCATTTTCCACTAATGAAAGTAAGGGTCATAAAAATCAAATTTGTAAAAAATCACCACGACAGTAAATTTATTTGCAGTTACGTTTTCATGTGGTGGGATGCAAATTTGCAAGAAAACACATGAAATTGTATGAAGGACTCACCCAAATTTTCAGCCAACTCTCAAAATTTGAGTGAGTCCCAGTTTACTCAGTGTTGGTCTGAATGTTTGGACCTTTTTGTCATAATGAAGTATACCAACACAAATGAACTTTCAAACTATACTATGAAGGACTTGTAGTGACATCATCACAACTGACCAGGTTATTTCCCAGCATCTGCTGCCAGGTGTAGAATGTCTCAAACAGGTGCTCCCTGCTGGTGGACAGAGCACCTGCCAGAAGGTCACTGTGTCCTCCCAGGTATTTGGTGCTGCAGGTGGGAAAATGGAATTCTTTTCAGAAACATTATACATGTAATTACTGTTACAGTCAGTAATTCCTGATTTTTTCACTGTACTGTTATGTTCACTGTTTTCATTGTCACTTCTGTACTGTGAACTTATTATTACAGTTAACAAATGATTCCTGGACTTTCTCTTTCTCTTTCCTGGACCTGCCACCGTGAACATGTCCATTTTTCTCAGACCGTGAACTTTTAGGGGTCAGCAGAACGGACTGGAGAGTGCTGGCAGAAAACAGAACATCCTGGAGGGACATGTCTGCAGCCTGATGCTTGGGGCTTGATTGATTGCTGAACTTTTGCTACCGTGAACATAAAGTGAATTACAGTAACAGCTTCGAAGTTTCAATCATCATCATCATTGTCTGACTGTATCGGTCAGGGTTTACAGGGTGATTCAAAGTTTCAATGTAAACCAAATGTGATCAAGGTGTACAGTCGACACCGAAAATTTGGAGGTACGTAATCTACCTTACAAAAATACTGTCACTGATCGAAGAATTTCTACTAACTGTTAATTCTACGTGACTGATGAACCTCTTCAACGAAACGAAATTTTGTCTCTCTTACTTGAGAATTGAGGTATAGAAAAAATGTATCCTTCAAGGGATGAAATTGATAAGGGAATATATAATTTAGAAGAAATAAGGCATCAAAAGAAAATATTTAGCAAAACACCTTGCTATCCAATGGTAATAAATCCATGTGAAAAAAACAACAACACCACTAGAGAAATATTGACCAGTACTGACCAACTGTTCATGGACACGTCCACGCCGTGGCGTAGCGGCTGCTGGTGGTACGGTCCAGCGAAGGTGCTGTCCACCACGGTGATTAGACCCTCCCGAGACTGACCCAACCTCCCAAACTCCTCCAGGTCCAGGATGGTGCACAGGGGGTTAGCTGGGCTCTCTCCCCACAAGAGCTACAGGTTTGAATTTGTAGACTTAGACTCTAAAGGTTCAAGTCCTAACTAGACATTCTTAAGGCCACACCAATTTACATGTAATTTGTTGGTTCTCGGATTTTTTAAGTGACAGGGCGAAGAAAAAATAAAAATAAAAACAGGCCTAGACATCCTATGCTAGCCCCAAATGCTATGAATGGAGCCATGAAGTCAACAGACTGGTTTGTAATTCAAACAATGAATTTCAAACTTTTAATCAAACCACTACATAGATAGATAGATAGAAAAACTGTAACAACTGTGAAGAGAAGGTTGGGGCTAAAATATGAGCATTTTGGAGTTGATTCAGAGCCTGAAATGTTTAAAAAAAAAAGAAGCGGGCGAATCCGAGAACTGACAAATTGAATTGGTGTGGCCTTAGACTTACAACCTAAATCTGGGTTCGAGTCCTACATTGAGTTAACACAGGTAAGGTGGAATGGTGGCCTTGGATTTAGGGCTGTTGCAACTAAAGGTTCTGGGTTCAAGTCCTACATACAGTTAATACAGGTTGGGTGAGTCGGTGGCCTTGTGTTTAAGGTTGTTGACCTAGCAACTAAAGGTTCTGGGTTTGAGTCCTACATAGACAGTTAACGCAGCATGGATGATATGGCAGCCTAAGTGTATTTTAAAATTGTTGACTGACTCTAGCTAAAGCTTTGTTACCTTCGTGTACAGATATGTGGATGGGGAAATAGCCTTAAAAGCACAGACCACAAAAGGTCAGACACAGGAAGTTAGGTCCCAGCCGCTGGCCAGGTGCCAGACTTTTACTCTCCAAGCAGAGGTTTGGGTTTTGGGGGTATTTTTAGCGTGTTTTTAGGCTTTTTTATCGGGGTTTCTCTTTTGCACTGAATTTTTTTCCCACCAAACCCAACCTCTGCCGGCACTCACCTCGGGGAGGGGCAAACCTATTCAAAACAGGCGATAGTGCCCCTCCCCGGGAACCATCAAACTGTCATTAGGGATATCCATTTTATTGTGGTGGATTATCACACTTCTAGGCAGTCGGAAAGGCATTCATTGGGCCACACGCCTCCTGCTGACTGTGCCTATTCATGCGTCTGGTTCACACCTCCTTGCAGAACGACTGAAATGTGTTGAAATGATTAGGTTTATAGCCCATTGAAGTTTTCGACTGCCGGCAGAGGTTGGGTTTGGTGGGAAAAAAAATTCAGTGCAAAAGAGAAACCCCGATAAAAAAGCCTAAAAACACGCTAAAAATACCCCCAAAACCCAAACCTCTGCTTGGAGAGTACCAGACTTTATTCTCCTCAATTTTACACCACAAGGTAAGTTTATACTCAACCTTAGTGTTGTCCTTGAGGTTTTTGGCATACTCCTCCACACTGCCAGCCTTTACCCAAGTTACCTCCACATCATACTTCAGCATTGCCCTCTGCAGGAATTTCATGGTGCCTGCATAAACCGGCATCTGACAAATAACATGGTCCCCTCCCTGAGGAAAAAATAGCAAGTTGTTAATCTCCAAGCAGATCCTAGGGTGGCAAAAAGACAGTATCAAACTGGCCAGGCAGTATCCACTGGCCAGAGAGGGACCGGTCCAATTTGCCACCCAAGGTGGGGTTGCGACAAAAAAAAAAGAGACCATACATAAAAAGGTAACGATCTTCCCTCATCAACCTCTGCTTGGAGAGTACGAAGTTGTCACTGTTATCTTAATTGGAGGTATGCAGTTTAATCAAATCATGAGGTATATATATATGCATCATTCTTAACATACATGTATATGTTGCAACTCACATTATTAAAGTTAATACCTTTATAAAGTAACTTTATAAGCATACAGTCAAAAACATTGTCAGAGTTTGAATTTTGAAAGCAGCTAACATTGCCTGAATATTTTGACTATACGATATTGATGGATCCCCTTTCCAACGAAACATATACTAGTAACTTATAAGCTTGGCTAAGTCTGACACTAACTTAAAGTGACTGTCCATTAACAAGTTTAGTTTCATCTACTCTAAGTATGAACGCAATATAATACAATGTATAATGAGGAGTTGTACCTAGTTATATTTGCGCAGACATGCTTGGGACTATTATTCTCAGCACCTAGCTGCAGTACAAAGTAGGAAGGACAAGTCAACTAAATGTATTGGCTTGGCAAAAAATTCTTGTGTACTAGAACTTTGTAGTGTACAGACAAACCTGCCAAGGAGACCATCTCTTCAAGCTGGCCACCTGTCCATGGTGACCGCTTTTTCTCGGTCCCAAAAATTTTCCCCATTGACACAAGCATTAAGCAACCTGTCCAAGGTGACCACCTGACCATCGCGACCGCGACCACCCTGAGTTGGGTCCGCTCAAGGCCTGATACCTGCCCATGGTGACCACATCATTTTCAATCATGTAGATTACTGATGATAACTAAAGAGAAATCATGGAGAAACCAGCCAGTTTGCCTGGATAACTGCTGGATGATGTTTTTGTTTGACGTAAATTGTTCCATGTGTCACCCTCCTCACATGCATTTAAAGCATTTGACATTAGAACATCTCGACTTGGAAACCATTTATGTTTCAGTCATGTTGCAATAATTGTAAGGTGACCCTCTTCAAGGAGTCCACCTGTCCAAGGTGACCGCTTTTCATTGGTCCCCTGGGTGGCCGGCTTGAACAAGTTTGACTGTATTTTGAAACATGACCCCTACCTTCAGCAGGGACAGCAGTACAGTGCTCATCGCTGCCATGCCACTAGAGAACACCAGCGTGCCGTAACCCCCCTCCAGCTGGTTAATGGAATAGGCCGCTCCATCCTGGGTGGGGCCGCCATGACGACTGTAGATGTATCCTTTCTGACGGGCATAAAAGAAAGAAGATGCATTGTTTGTTAGAAACATAGGGTCAGCCATCGCCTGTGTTACACAAACTCAGGGTCTAAATGGGCCTCCTCGAGAGCTTGTGGGGAGCCCGTATGCCCTTTTCCGTAGAGCGTAATTGGCCATTTTAATTCTACGTAGAGCGTAGACAGACCGTTCTAATTCAACGTAGAGTGTAATTGGCGCATTTTGTGTAGAGCGTATTCGCCGTTTTAATTGTACGTGATGAGTTGTAGCCACTTGGAATTTAACACAAAGCGTAATCGAGAGGATTCCTGAATTCAGCGTAATACGTAGCCAGTTCTCGAAATTTATCAGTTCTCTGGATCTAAGGCCACACCAATTTAATTTGTTGGTTCTCGGAATTTTCTGAAAAAAATCTGAAGTGACAGGGCAAAAAAATAATAACAGGTCTATAGGCATTCTATTATAGCCCAAAATTCTTCAACAGGAGCAATGAAGTCAACACAAAAGGTTGGGTTAAAATTTAAACATGAATTTTGAGCTTTTAATCAAACCACTGCATTGATAGATGGAAAAACTGTAACAAGTAGGAAGAAAAGGACTTTCCTCAACTGTTGGGGGCAAAATATGAGCATTTTTGAGTTGATTCAAAACCAGAATTTTTTTTTTTGCAAATCAGAAAAAAATAGAAGAGGCAAATCAGAGAACCAACAAATTAAATTGGTTTAGGCCTAAGATAACTCACATTCTCTAACTTGTGGACATACTCGTCCACTGTGTCCATGATGTATGTGGATGTTGTTTCGATGGAGGGAGCGACGGGCCTGATGGGTACGGGGGAGCGCGAGCGCACACTGCCCTAGTGTCAAAGTGCAGCTCCACCGACGGAGCGGAGCTACCGGAATCTCCCGAGGACGCCATCTTGGTCGATAAAGGAAGTGAGAATACTTTCTGTGGACACAAGAAATCAGAGATTTTAGAGAAAAATGTACAATCCTTGGTTTTGTGAATTCCCCCAAGTGCACATGGATCCCAGTCAGACTCTGGGACCTTTTGACATGTTGCTGGTCAATCTGCTCTCCCACCCATGTGCTATCAACCTGTCTGGACAAGAAACCCACAAGCTGTTCACTCAAAACATTAAGGCCACACTGATTTAATTTCATGGATGACATCTTCTGAAGACCCCCCAGGACTAAGTGCGTGTGGGCGTAATAAAAAAAAAATTCTGGCCAAATAAAAAGAGCTTCGGCAGCCTGGGTGCCATCCTCCGTAGTTACCTATTGTCAGCTTCCTATTGTCGCTAGCTAACATGGACTATATAGAGGATGGCATCCAGGCCAAAGTGATCTTTTTTTTTTAGAACTAGGCAAAAGTTATGTGTGCACAGATGTCATCCATAAAATTAAATCAGTGTGGCCTAAGTTTAACTACACCGGTATTAAACCCAGAAGTATTTCTAATGTAGACATGTGCTATAAGGAGTTCAGAAAACAAGACTTTTATTATACAACCCAGTTTATGAGGAAAAACATTTTTGACATACTGAAATCTTACAATACTGAAATTGACATACTGAAATCTTAGGCCCGATTTAGACTAGAAACGCTTAAGGGGTTTTGGCCAGGGAAACGTTTCGGAACGGTTAACCGTTCCCGGTCTAAAGAGGAAAAAACGGTTTATTATGGGTTTTCGCGGACCGTTTCCGAAAACCACCTCCATCGTGGTTTTCGACCGTTTCAGAACCCTTCAGCGGGGGGCCCGAAACGCTTTTTGCTAGGTCTAAAGTCAAAGGGTTTCTTGAAACGGTAAACCAGGTCATGTGTCATATGCTAATCACATGCTAATAAGCCCGCGCGCGTCCATTTTCTGGTAGATTCGCGCCATATTCGATTGTGTCCATTTTCGCCATTTTATATCATGTATTTCTCGAATTTTCGTCATCCTTTATGTCTGGGGGGATGGCAGAAGGCCAGGGGAGGGTCTGGACCCAAGAAGAGATCCGCTGCTTGATCAGCTTGTCGGCCGATCAAACTATACAATCCCGCTTGGAGACCTCGCGTAATAGGGAGGGCATACAGATGCTTGTGGACGGGCTGGCGGCTGAGGGGTATTTACGCACCCCAAAGCAGGTTCGGGCGAAGTTCAAGGCCCTGAAACACAAGTATCATAAGGCCAATGAGGCAAACCGTAGAAGCGGTTTGGGGAGGTCATCATAGGTCACTGTGGGTCAGAAACATCCTGCACCACGGGCGGCCCGAAACGCTTCCGCCTCTGTGTCTAAAGACGAACCGTTTTCTGTGGCGAAACGTTTCGTACCGTTTCGAAACGGTATACCGTTTCTAGTCTAAATCGGGCCTTAAAATTAACATAATAAAACGCTTTCACGGGCGGCCCGAAACGCGAACCGTTTTCTGTGTCGAAACGTTTCATACCGTTTCGAAACGGTATACCGTTTCTAGTCTAAATCGGGCCTTACTTTATATAACGTGTTAACATAATTCACACAAAGGGACCCTACTAGATATGGTGTTTCAGGCAGAATTCAAGACAGTTCCAGTTTTGCCACAATAAGCTGTTATTAAGTATGAATATCTAAACCGTAGTTATCGAAGTATATAAAAAGTTACTATTTCACTTGACTAAAGGACGTCGATCACTTACCTTGCAGCTGCAGTACTCAGCTGATCATCAGGTCAAATACGGGTCAAACTGCCCCGCCCCTTCCGGTTGCAGACGCCACTTCCGGTTACCGAATATCTAGCAGATTCTCTCTGTCCAAAACACTTGTCCTTGACTTCTGGGCTGCCATTTGCTGTATAATTTGTGGAACACAGGAGGCACTGACACGTTTAGGACTATGTCTGCTGCTCAAATCAGCACCGCCGTGTCTGATTTCGTCCTCTCGGCCTCTGCTCTTCTGCCAGCGGTCACACTGTGGCGCCCCTCCCCAGTCGGGTCGGCGGGCTTCTTGGTGATCGGCGTCGCCGCGGGACTCGGAGTTTTGCGCTTCGGCCAAGGTTTGCCGCCTGCCGGCTTGGTCCGGGCTCACCAGGCGGTCTCGTGGCTAGCTAACGTCCTGGGAACCGCCTGCATTTCAGCCGCGCTGCACAAGAAGATGGCCCCCGCCGGTGGCCACGACCTTTGGACGGACTATCGGTTGGTAGGAGCTGCCCTACTGCTTGTCGCCCGGCGGTTCCTCCCGCCAAACCTGTCGGAACTTGCCACCCTTCTCCTCAGCGGGATTTCTGTGGTTTCGGCGGGAATCGTGTGCGGAATGAACGGGAACACCGCAGGCGTGGCGGGAGCGGTTCTGTACGCGGTGTCCGGGTTGGTGATTGGGGACGAGGGGAGCTTTCTCTCCATCCCCCGTGTAGACTGGTTCCACTACGCCCTGGCGCTAGGAAACTACGCCTTCTACTCTGCGTTAACCAACTGACCAGACCGTGGGGTCTAGACCTTTTTGCCGAGTGGTTTAGAGCGTCGGAGTCTGAACTAGTGCTCGGGAGGTCGTGGGTTCGAACCCCGGCTGGCCGGGAGCAGGGATTTTTTATCTGTTTCTACTCTCGCTCCTCTTGTTTCTTACAGTGGTTCTCATCCCTGCCCTGAGAGTTCTGACGAAGAGTGCCGCTCCAGGGATGTCAAACCCCCCACTGTCACATTATGATAACGGTAGTAACAGTTACCTAAATATCCACAATAAACGCGGCACAGGACTGCTGTCACAATAGTCACAAGCTACACAATCAGAAATCTGAAAGCAGATTTACAGAATTTCCTGATGGAACAAAGCAGATGTATAGAATTTCTTGATGAAATAAAGCAGATTTACAAAATTTCCTCATCTATCATGCAAATTAGATCCTAATTTACATAAATGTTATCTACTTATGTAGATGATTGAAGATCACTTTGTAGTAGAATGGATCTAGTCTGTACAACGAGCTCGAGAGAAATGAACAGCAACGTTACACTACTTCACACATAAACCTAATTAATACAGAACAAGAGTTCCACGATCTCATACCTTCGCCAAATGATGTTAACCCTTGCGGGTGGCAAATTATACAATTTTAATCATTGATTTTGTAAATAAGAGCCTCATTTGCATGGATTATTTCAGTTGATCATATTCTCCATCCAATGACAGCCTTATCATAACAAAAAGGCTATTATAGCACTTCCTCATAAATTATGCAAATCAGGTCAAAATTTGAATAAATTATATTAATTGATGTTCACCTTCACTTAACTTCCAAATGTGGCAAGTACAAATGTATGAAATTCGGGGTGCAGTAGTTACAACTATGGCATTGTAAGAATTTTCCATTAATTATGCAAATTAGGTCCTCATTTACATAATCTATATCCTCAGCTGTTTTTCTCGTTCTCAAGTAGATGTCACAAGTGTTTCATTGTTCTATTATCGAACAAAGCAGATTTATAGAATTATGCAAATTAGCTCCTGATTTGCATAATTGCCATCTGATTATGTCAAGCATCACTTCAACTACCTACATACCAAAAATCACGACAATACGTCAACCGGTTCTTGAGTTATCGTCCTTCAAATTTTTTTCAACAAGTGCTCCTGCAGTTCCAGAACAAGGCGCTAGGGGACCCAAACTCATGTCACTTCTTCCCTACCCCAAGAGCTATCTACCAACCAAAATTCATGACCCTAGCATGTCCAGAACATGAAATATCAAAACCGGAAGTTCAGCTGCAGTACCTAGGAAAGCCGCAAGGGGGCCCAAAATCTAATCATTTCTAGGTCTCATGAAGACCTACCCACCTACCAAGTTTCATTCCAATCCATCCACTGCTTCTCGAGTTATCTTGCTAAACCACACACACACAAACACACACACACACACACACACAGACAAACGCTACTGAAAACATAACCTTCTTGGCGAAGGTAATAATTCACATTTCTAATGACCTAACACAAACCTCTTGTCCTAAAACATGTCTGTTCTTGTTAGATCACAGAGAAGCTAGAAGTGCTCACGGTAGCTTATGTATGTTAACTATATACATGTGACGTTATATACAAATTATTCCTTTGTTGTGACCTGCACTTTAACCCAGTGGGTACGTATGTATGTATATACAATAGAGGTCTTCGTTAATTTACTTTTTCATTATTCCATGGACAAGGGGTTGTGGAGGCCGGAATCCTGAAAACAAATTAAGAAAAAAAAAACACGACTTTTTATTATTGATTATGCAAATAAGATCCGCATTTGCATGGACGCAGTATATGTCATTAGTTTGAATAGTCCTGTCTTGGAATAAAGCAGATTTCTAAGATTTCCTTATCTAGTATGCAAATTATATCCTAATTTACATCTACAAATGTACTCATGTCAAGAATCACTACATTCGAGACCCTAGCATGTCCAGATAAAGAGGTATCAAAACCATACGTTCCACTGCAGTACCTAAACGAGCCACCAGGGGATCCAAAATCCAGTCATTTTTAGGACTCATGAAGGCCACATACCAAATATCAAGACAATCTCTCCATGCCTTTTCGAGTTGTCGTGTTTACAGACACACAGACAGAATGCAGAATGTTTGTAGCCTATAAGTGCCAATCTGTCAGCCGTGTTATGATTAAAAGATTTCAAACGTAGCAAGTACATATACATCTCAAGACAAGACATATCCAAATAGCACATACAGCATACAGATAAAGTGTATAATTAGCCAGGTCTAGAAAGCTATGACGTCTGCATTGCCACAAAGAGATGGTAAAATAACAAATACGGTTTTCTTTTTAATATTAATAGTCTTTCTGTATCTCACGGTATGAAGTATTTTATATCCTAATATAACCAATAGAAAATAATTTCTGTTAATTTTACAGACTCAAATGAATTAGCGTTGGTGAGCTTGATTATCATTTTGAAAGGCACAGGCAAGAGGAGTTTATAATGAAGAAAATCATGGACATCAATAAATTCATACAGGATAAAGACATATGACTTATGATCTCTTGATACTTCTGTCCACATAAAATCTTTAAGACATTACTCACCTTTCTCAGTCGGTGTCTTCCCCGCTGCTTGAGATTTCAATCAGTCCAGGAATCTTCACCGACCTTGAGGAGGCCACGAAGAACACATCTGGGCGGCTGGAGCTCGGTTCGTTTCTGGGACCCTTTCTTCGACTGACCGCCCATTTAGGCGGCTGGTCAGTCCGACTGTCCGTACTTGGTCCAGCAACAGAGTCTATTGACCCCGCAACTCCAACGCGGTTTGATCTCGGTGCGTTTCTGGGACCCTTTCTTCGACTGACCGCCCATTTAGGCGGCTGGTCAGTCCTACTGTCCGTACTTGGTCCAGCAACAGCGTCCATTGTCCCCGCATCCACATCACTGCTTGATCTCAGTGCGTTTCTAGGATTCTCTGCCGCTCTTCGGCTGACTGCCCATTTAGGCGGCTGGTCAGTCCGACTGTCCGTACTCGATCCAGCAGCAGCTGCGCATGCGTCCATTCTTCCTGGATCTCCAACAATCTGAATGTTCACCACTTGGTTCGATGACCACCCCAACTTTTCCCGAACCGCGGTGGCGAGTCGTCGCGCCCTGCGATGCACGGCTTCCCGAATCTTCTTGATCCTGAGTGCGTAGATGATCGGGTTGATCGCCGAATTACAGAGCGCGATCAGCAACCCCCAGAATGGCCTTGCCTCTATCTCACAGTCTTCTCTTGCGAAGCACAAAAGGTGCCGCACACCCCCGATACAAATGGGAAGCCAGAAGATGATGAATACCGCGGCAATGATGACAACGGTCACCTGCATCTTCCACACGGTTTGGAGCTGCTGGTACTGTCTGGCCGCGACTCGCTGTTCCCTGCGGCGGTCGGCGGGCAGATCGTCTCGAGGGTTCTCGGGGGGTCCCAGTCTGGAGAAGCGCTGCTTCAGCTCGATGAAGATTCTGACGTTGACCAAGACCACTATCACTACGGCCATTGACAAGATGGTGTTGATCAGAATCACGTAACCTACGGGCAGCATCGTCATGCAGGTTTCGGTGTCCATATCGATGCAGTTCCACCCCATGAGAGGAGACAAGCAGACGAGCACACAGGCTGGCCACGCGATCCCCAAACTCACGGCAACGTGTCGCCCAGACATGCGGGTCTGGTAGAATATCGGGTGGAGGATGGCCAGATAACGGTCTCCGGACAGGAGGACCACGCCAACTGCTGATGAGACCAACACTAAAAAGAAGGCACAGTACAAGCCCATCATTGCCCACGGTCGAGTCAGTTCCAACTGCAAGCAGGCGCAGAACAAGAACGAGAACAAACCGGCCACACAGTCCGCTGTAGCCAGGTTTGCCACAAACATGAACATGGGTTTAGACAGTTGATGGTTTTTCAGCACTCCGGACAAAACCACGATGTTCATGAGGAGAGCGACTGTCCCGACAGCGGCGGAGGCGATCCCGACTTTCTTGTTCTCCTCCAGAAACAGATCGGGGAGATGAGAGCACGCAGCTACGGCCAGGTCGTACTCAAACTTGTTCTCCAAGTGCCAGAGAAAACACGGCCCGAAAGTCTCGAACACCGTGGAGTTTCCTCCGGTAAGGTTCCCCGTGCTGCCGTTCATTTTGCGATGTTTACTGAAGACACGTACGTTGCCTCTCGTGGGAATCGATAAATCGGAGCTTTCCACCTTATCTCAACCATCTGACAACTGGTTAACTAAGCATTGACGAATCTAGATTCTTTTCTTTTCTACTATGTACGTCAGTGTTACCACAGTTTCACTCCCCCGCGGCAACCATCACTTGATCAATAGAACAGATGCGCTTGATCCCAATCAATGTCAAACCATAGAGAATATGATGCCTGCAAATCGTATTGAAAACATCACGATCCAAATTAATCAGGTATCAAAATACTGCTCACAGCAACTACCCATCCTGTAATTACTGTACGCTTTTCATGATACCTGAAAGCAGAAGGCGCCGACGATGCTGTAACTGGACACACGCGTTCTGCTGACGTTCATTTTGCGATGTTTACTGAAGACACGTACGTTGCCTATTGTAAAAGAAAACCCGCTGATTTTGGGCTTTCTACCTTTTCCGAAGATGACTAGATGACAACCTCGACGGTAGCGTCTGAACACTGAAGATGATCATAAATGCGTCTTCGCTGCGTCAGTGTTACCAGAGCTTCACACATCTTACCGCTATCGTTGCCATGACAACAGTCGATTGAAGTGTCAAGCCAAACGAGAATGCCTGAGGTGATGAAACACAACAAAAGTTTTTTTCCCATATCCGGACACCAATCGAGCATCTATTTAATGAGGCTTATTCATATCCGCAGGCAGCATACATATAACGTTACATACATCAAATCACAGCATAGCATTTGGAATTTTGGGTTTCAACTAAATATCTGGTATTTGTCTTTCTCAAGAATGACAGAGTTCAGCCTACTCCTGCCTTTACTGACCTTTTACTTTGCCTCAAGTGTACCTTTGAGTTCAGAAGGACTCAAGCTAGAATCCTCAGGAAAATCACCAGGGTATGAGGTGTTTAATTCTCGTCGTAATCATACATCATATTACAGCTTAGCGGAACCGATGTCGCAGAGTAACAGACTTTAAGTAGTTATCAGCACACTACGTCCACATCGGGATATTTCATGGCGTCAGGGTTTTAGAATTAAACTTTTTGACCCAGGCTTAAATCCGAGCTCTGTCTTTTTTCCGCTAATATATTTTTCAAATAGTTAATTCATTAATTAATAAACTATTTTTCATGATTCCGTAAAGTATTTTTTCTGCTGGATGTTTGTTTTTATTTATTTGACCAGAGAACATATCGCCCTGGAGGGCGGTTTTCAATGTACCCTGGGGGGTAATCCCCATACACAATAAAATAAAACATAAAGTAATCGCTGAGCAAATTTATGTTGGAAGGAACGTTGAATCAGAATTTCGCCGGTTGGAGACGATCTTCCGAGGTGACGTTTTAGAAATACAGACGGGAATACTACCTGAAATGAGAAGTGCTAAGCACAGTACATTACGGGTTTCACACAGGCGTAGTACGTTCTGCTGACGTGCTATGGGCCTACTTACAATCGGAACTTTATTGTCGTGGGTTGGACCTTCGTTTGAGAACGGCCTAGAGTAGGTCTTCCTAGGCTTCTTGTTGAAGTCATTGGCTAACTCCCCTTTTTAAAAATGGACTGGCCTATGTAACTGAACCAGCAGGTTAAACAAAGTCACAACGTCACAATGCAAACTGCGTTAAAAGGTTAAAGGTCAACGTGGGCGGAAGACGAGAACACAGAAACTTTAATATTGCGATGGAATTCGCCACGAAAACAACCCGGGCTTTGGGTCTGATGAGCGGAACCTCCATGGATGGCATCGACGCAGCGCTAGTGGACATCATAGAGCACGACAACGGCCGTTTAGAGGTGCGACAGGTCGTGGCGGAGACGTTTCCCTACGACAACCGACTGCAAGAAGACCTAGGCGCGGTCTGCTCGGGAAAACAGTTGACTGTCGACCAACTGTGCGACTTGGACGACCGCGTGGCGGAGGCCTTTGCCGAAACCGCGGCAACGGTGATGGATAGAGAGGCGACCAAGCCCACTGTCATCGGCTCTCACGGTCAAACCGTCTTCCACAGACCGCCTGCACTCACGGAGACTGGTGGGACGAGGCTGGGGCACTCCGTACAACTCGGCCGAGGGGCAGTCATCGCAAGGCGCACAGGTGGTTGTAGTTTGAGTAGCAGTAAGCACGTACTGTCCCTGGGCGAAACACAGATTTTGCCCGTTGCAGACCATAAAACATTTGAAAACTATAGATGGACAGTGTCACCCTTATAAAGTACGCGAATACGACGTTGTTTAAAGAGTGTGGCGTTCTGTCCAAGTACTAACTAGTGCGCAATGCATTACGGGGTTCGCACAGACGCAGTGCGTTCTGCAGACGTGCTAGTTGGCGTTTGAGTTCATAGATCCACTAATTGTAGCAAGCTGTTTTTTCAGTGGCCGGGGAAAGAACCATACAGTAGAACATCACGCGTGGGGTCGTGTGGCGTTGCGGTAGCGTCTTCGGCCCGGAACCAACAGGTCCCGGGTTCGAACCCCACCTGGTCACCGATCTTGTGCCCTTGGGAAAGGCACTTTCCACACTTCACTCAGGTGCAAATGAGTACCTAGGGACGTCCCACGTATAGGACGTTAAATGGAGGTCCCGTGTTTGGGGAGAGCCACACCCCACGCACGTTGAAGAACCCACCACACCTTTCGAAAAAGAGTAGGGGCATGCCCGGATGTGCGATGGTGCAAATACTAATCTGATTATTCACTACGGACTCCAGGAAGAGTAGTGTGAAATTCACACGATTGGAGAACAAAACAAAACAAAACAAAACAAACATAGGAACAACATGACAACAAAGGCACTAAGAAACCATGATCTAAACAATTAAGTGTTGAAATCTTCAGATGTCATATATCTATTTCTTGTCAGCTTTGCCATGTCGTAGGTATTATGATGTGATGTCCAGTTCCTTCTGTTTGGATTTATGCCGAATGAAATTACTTATAGACCGATCTTCTAGGATTAGAACTCTAGGACTAGGAATGCAACACAAAAATGTACATATTTGACGGACATTCAGCCACCCTAGCTTCTCATTGGTCGAACCGCTAATTGCCATGCTATCATTGGTTGAACTGCTAATTGTGATGGACAGTCATGATCGGTCTTTTTGTCACCCAAAACTCAGGTGTCGTGGTGGTGAGTGATTTCCGCAAGGCCGACATAGAGGTCGGACATTCAGCCACCCTCTCATTGGTCGAACCGCTAATTGCCATGCTATCATTGGTTGAACTGCTAATTGTGATGGACAGTCATGATCGGTCTTTTTGTCACCCAAACTCAGGTGTCGTGGTGGTGAGTGATTTCCGCAAGGCCGACATAGAGGTCGGGGGGCAAGGGGCCCCTCTCGTTCCCATGGTAGACTGGTTGCTCCTCGCGGACCGCAGGCAAACGCGAACGTGTCAGAACATCGGAGGGATTGGGAACGTGACCTACCTCCCCCCAAATGGCAACCACGACCAGGTCAGTTATGGATAAACTGAAATAACAGTTTAATTCCGGACTAATTACCATATCTCAGCAACCTTACATCTAGATGGGCTAATATTGTAAACTATAGGTAAAAATGATGTAAGAAATACGCGACAGCCATCAAGAACCTCTTACAGATTAACCTAATTCTGCAGAATTCTGGAACTGGAGCCAGAATTCTGCGGAATTATCAAATTAAAAAAAAAACTATATGCTAACATGGAGTTCTATATACGGTCTGCTTATTTAACTTACTACATCTACTTTAAAACTAATATAACGTTGGTATACAGGATAAAGAGTGGATATTTAACTGTGTGATTATTTAGGTCCTAGGCTTCGACACGGGTCCCGGTAACGTTCTTATCGACATGGCTGCCCGGCTGTTGTACGGTCAACCTCACGATGATGACGGCAGACTTGCGAGAGGCGGAAGGATACATAAGCCGTTGGTGGAAAAATGGCTCGAACAGGTGACTAGTAATCATGTTTCTATATGCTCACGACTTTATGGCATCAAAGATATTCCTTTATTAGTTTTTTTTATTTAGGCCATGTTGATTTGATTATGTGGATGACATCCGCGCGCGCATGAGTTTTCGTCCGTTTAAAAAAGTTTTCGACCTTACGGTAAATCGTACGAAGCAACTGCAAAATTGGCAAATATATGCCGAAGATTGCAAAAACATTATTAGAGAGCGATACTAATATCACAGAATGTCAAAATTAATAATATAATTTCAAAGGAAAAGAACAAAATGTGAAGAAATGAAAATAAAGATTCTATCAAGAAGGTTCAAACGCCCTTATAGCCTCCTTGATTCTATTATTCGGCATACCATACTCTGTGTGTTCATCATTAGTCAACCTTTATGACCACGTAGATTTAATTTTTTTGCCAAACTTTTTTTTATTCTCACTCTCGCATCAGTTTTGAGATTCAGAGGATGTCATCCATATAATGAATGAATGAAAGACCTTTATCGTACATTTTGCTCATTCGAACTAAGCACAGGTCATGGTAAACAAAGATGGTAGACTAAAATATATCTATAGTAAAACTACATATGTACAGGTTCTGCTTCTTCTCTCTTCTTAAGACAGTTGTACATGTAAGAACAGATGGAGCTTATAGTACGAGGATTATTGAGTTTCATGAGGAATGTGAATTTTTCTTTTCTGTCTAAAATTCTAAAAGTAGGGAAATAATGTAGTATACAATTGAAGAGAATCTTTCATCATTATACAGAGTACAGTCCATAATAAAATGATTCTCGTCTTCAATCTCATTTAGGTTACAATAATGACAGATTCTTTGTTGCAGAGGAATGTGGTTGTGTCTACCCTTTTCAACAAGAAGTCATAATCAAATCGACATGGCCTCAGAGGGAGCAGCTATTGGTAGTTGACATAACCGAATTCAGGCAGCCGAGGTTGCCCTATTTATTTATTTACCGCCAGGAAGTTTGAAATCTCTGATTTCTCGTTTGGCAGGAGTTTTTCAAGAAGCGACCTCCCAAGTCCACAGGGAGAGAGCTGTACACAGCTGACTATCTACAGGACAGGATAAAAGACTGCAGATCTGTACAGCTGACTGATGTGGACATCATGGCAACGTTGACAGGTTAGCAAGTATAGTATATTAGACACCTTTACTACTAGCTATCTAATTAGTTCCTGGACGAGAGTATTGTTTTGAGTGGCGCGAATTTATGCCAGGTTTGTATGTTTGGGTTCCAAACGTCTTGTTAGTTACTGTACTGAAATGTCAAATGACTGGTTAAGTCGTTAGTCCTAAAAGTTAGTGTTCTGTTAATTCTGTTGCATTATTTTATTATATTCAGTTGTTATATTTTGTATGTTTTAATTGAACTCCATGAAGAATAGTAGAAAATGTATTCACTAATGATGATATAAATAAACAAAACCAAAAGTGGACCATAGGTTTTTAAACAGTTTTCCCTTTTATCATACATTGGTTTATTTTATACAATATCCTACTAGGGTAAGACGCACTGAGTAAATGTAAGCCAAAACCCGATTGAATGTTGGCAACACTATGGATTCTAATCGCCAATAACCATCTTTTTTTACAGTTGCACTTGTTAAATATATGTTGTTGTGATTTCCATATTCCAGTAATTATAAGCTAAATATAAACTACAAATGAAAAAAAAACTGAAATTGTGATTATTGAATTATCTTACAACAGCAAGACTTGCACACTGAAATATATGAAAACAAATGAACAGCATAACTGATAACCGTATCCCACTAGGTTGATATAAGATAGCCACGTACACTTAATCTATTCTACACATGAAAAAATCAGGTACTTAATGCTTCATATCTTCACTTCAATAACCAGAACTGACTGTGCAGTCCGTAGCCTACAGCTACAGGGAGTTTCTACCGAAAGGACCAGATGAAGTGCTTGTTAGTGGAGGAGGAAGTCATAACAGGTACAGAAAAACTCATTAATACACTCACGTATACGGTTCACTGAAGGAAGTCTCATGTTCAAAGCGTTCACGTATTCAAAGCGGTCTTACTTTGAGAGTTTGACACTGTGCATTATCTGTTTCTCCGTAACCTTTGGATATCAAACAGGAAGAAATGACGCCCAGGGCAACGCACTAATGAAGTACTCCCCACTAGTGCTGTAGCTTCTCCAGCAACTTGAATAGTGAATTGACCCCCATAGCCACATAAACTTATAAACATGCTAGACGGTCCAGCCACCAAAAACAACGACACGGACATATTAGCATAATAACTGTAAAAAATTCAAATATTTTTCTAAACTGGTTTTCAAAATAAAAATATCAAGCCATACAGAATGATCGGGATAGCTGTAACTGAGTCACATAATCAAGATCTAGAAAATACTATCCGCAGCTTTCAGGTTCTGGAAAAACCAACCTCGCGGTCAAATTTTAATTTTTCAAACTGCCCTGTCAAAGTTTAATTTTATCAAAGTGTCTAATTGTAGATATATAGAAAATGTCAACCTCACAACTGAATTAGCTTGGATAGTAAGTATTTCTAGAAATATGGCTTGTAATTGTGGTGTCAATTTGGTAGTATGAGAAAACAGTGTAGAGTGGGTATCTGTTAGAACTGTACAGGAAACTGCCGGACAATCTCTATCACACTAGCAGGCAAACCTTGGCAAGACTGTGTTGTCGTAACTTTGTATTCTGTGTTAGGTCATTACCTTATGTCATGTAATGGTTTATTGGCCAAACATCACCCGTGCAATCGCAGCCTCATAGTGCTGAATTGATGCAGGGTTTACAATCAGATGATACAAATGGTAATGATACACATAATAATACACATAATACACATGATACATATTTGTTCCACGTTTTCGTGGAACTGCCGCAAGGGTCTGTGTGGCTGCCATTCGGCGCCACAAGGTGACCCCAATACGTACAACTGTACATAAATTCATTATCTGTTGTCAATATGTTTGAAACCCAAAATGTCTTGTTCACCACCTTAGCCAGCCCTGTGCCCATGTTACCACCACGGTAGTCAGGGATAGAATGAGGCCTGGTAGTTGACGTTAGCCGAATTTATTGCATACTTGTCCTGCGGAGCACAACAATTGTTGTTCTGCACATGCAGTACCATCTATATAGCACCCTGTATAGGTACGATTTGTGGGTATTTCTCGTGTAACGCATCACACTGCAGCGAAACGCAACAAATGCGGAGGTATCAATGTCGCTGCAGAGCAAAAGAAAAAAAAAGGGGGGGGGGTCTATGATCTAATTAAGACATAAAATTCTTGACAAATATTGTGCCAGGCATGCCAGCAGGACAAGGGTTAGAAGAATTCTAAAACTAATAGATGATTTATTAATTAAAAAAACTTTCAGTTCGCAATTGTACAAACCCTATTTTTAGAGGAGAATCAACTTCCATTGATATTGAATTTTTTTACTGGAACACCGAGGTTTTCTGGTAATTTTTTTTCTGTTGTAACGTTAGTGTACATAATAACACCAGGGTACATAATATCAACACCTTGAGAAATAGTAGTACTATCTAAATTTTAAAGAGATTTTTACTGCAAGGTCCTACATTCGAGGTATGTAGGAGTGCATTCCAAAAGTATGTTGCAGTAAAAATATCTTTCAGCACACTGTTTCTCAAGGTGGTGATATTATGTACCCTGGTGATATTATGTACACAGATGTTATATTTTATGCACAGTGATTAGTGCTTTTACAACGAAACATTGGTTAGTATACAAGGACATTGTTTTCTTGTTTTATTAGCTTCTTGATGGGCAGACTTCGGGAGGCTTTGAGTCCGGTCAAGGTGGCCACGACAGAGTCAGTGGGAATTAACGTGGACTACAAGGAAGCTGTAGCGTTCGCCGTGCTCGGATATATGCGTATGAAGGAACAGCCTGGAAACCTTCCCAGTGTGACAGGGGCAACAAGGCAGGTTTTGTTGGGACATATCAGCCACCCATCTTGAATGGGGGCCCGCATGCCCTTTTCCGTAGAGCGTAATCGGCCATTTTAATCAGTCTACGTAGAACGTAGACGGACCGCTCGAATTCAACGCAGAGCGTAATTGGCGCATTTTGCGTAGAGCGTATTCGCCGTTTTAATTCTACGTAATGCGTTGTAGCCACTTGGAATTTAGCGTAAAGCGTAATCGAGAGTTTTCCTGAATTCAGCGTAATACGTAGCCAGCTCTCAAAATTTAGCATAGAGCGCTGTCGGGACCCCCTTGGAGTAGTATGGTTAATATTTTTGGGTGGCTGAGTAGTGAGTTTGCATCTCTGTGTCTGTCGCGTGGAAGATCGTAACTTACCGAGAAAGACGCGTCACCGCTCGGACGTCCTACACTTAAAGCCATTATGAAAGATAGAACACTGTAGGCCGAGTATCACGGCCAGTCTCGTTTTCGTACAAGATCACGTACGTTCCCGTGTATAGCGCTGTACTCTCGCGGGACCACTTTTCAAAATGGCCGCGAAGATTGGAATTACACGCATGGTGTGTGGGAGGTGCTCAGTTTTGGCAGGTGATCCGGCATGCGACGGTTGGGAGTAAGTGGGATATGTATTCAGGAATTTAGAAAGTAGTGTAATGTTCCTAAGCATTCGTGAAATCCCCCAAAAAACTTGTCCCCGACGCCGTCTGCGGACTTGACGGTAACAAAACCACAAAATATACTTTCCAGAAGTCTAAAGTTCGTGTTCGTGAAAGCACGAAGTATGCCTAGCCTCTACCAGGCACCGCGGATCGCTGAAAAATAACAGAAATTGGCCGAAATAAAGAAAGTATACCAAGGGAGTTAGCCTGAGCCAGATAGGATCCAATATGCGACCCACGGAGCCTGTGTGGTGCATATAATTTGGATCCTCTTTGAAAGGCTAACTCCCCTGGTATACTACAGTATCCCTTTATTTCGGCCAATTTCTATTATTTTTCCAGCGATCCGCGGTGCCAGTGGTAGAGGCTAATTATGCCTTCTTTACTGTACCATTTCTTCATGCCGAGTATCGGATGATGGGAATAGATAGTATCACACCAAAGATATAGAGAGCCACGCACATCCTATCTAAGACCCTGGCCAAGTTCTGATAGTCCGTCTTGACTTCCTCTTCCTCGGCACCAGTCTTTGATGAGCCCGACATCGCCAGTTTGTTGACCGCCCTGCCCAGGTCCCTGACGGTGTCCCCCAGGCACAGTAGTATTTCCATTTGGGTCTTCGGTGTTGGTGGTTTACTGTAAGGCCATGTTGATTTATTATATGGATGACATCCTCCGGGAGCCCCAAAACTGATGCGCACGTGCGAATAAAAAAAGTTTTGCCAAAAAAAAGTTCTTTTCATTATGAAATCTACGTGGTCATGAGGGTTGAGCAAATGGCACAGAATATGGTTTGGCGAATAATCTAGTCTTCAAGTTCATTTCTTTACAATTTCGTCTTTTTTCGTTTGATTTTGGCATTCCACGACATTGGTATAGTTTTTATTAATTTTTTTTGTAACTTATGGTATATTTTTGCTCATTTTGCAACTGTTTTGTACGATTTACAGTATGGTTGAAAACTTTTTGTTTTGGAAACGGCCAAAAATTTACGCGCGCGGATGTCATCCATATACTCAAATCAACATGGCCTAAATGACAAAACGATGAAGATAACCACGTTTATTGCAGACAATAAAAGTCGCTCTATCAGCGACAGGACATACGCTTTTAGTACAAAAATTACTGTTGTCATTTTATACATTTGAAGTAGAACTCAAATATATAAATTTACAATTCAAAATTGTATGTACATACGTTTTGTTTTTACCCTTCGAAGTAGCGGCCATGTCTTCATTAGAGTTTTGAGTAGAAACGCTAAAGTGCATGATAAAAACAAGTGATATCAATTGGCCACTTGGTTTTTCTGGTTTGAACTACGAATAAAATGTATTCGTACTATAGGAATAGCTAAATACGGCGAAACAATTGTCAGAGTCCAAATATACAGAATCGTATGAATACTTTAAAATATGTGAGTTGAAGCCTACCTTGGATTTGTCTTTGTAGCATTGACCATCTCCAAATAGTCCTCGTTCACCAATTTGTGCCCGCGATGTCGCTTGGTCAGATCCCCTAGAAGGACAACCCTGGCCAGATACCGGAGGAAGATCTTCTTCATGAGGGGAGGGAGATGGCCTTTCTGTGGAAACACAAAACTAGTTTTTAAAAAGCAGAGGACGATGGTTTATTACATTGAATTAGATATATAGTGATGAAGAGGGTGCTTTTGCCATGTTAGGATTCATGATCTTTTATTTGTTATACCATATCTTGCGTATAGACTATATCCATAACATACGTAAAGACTACATACAAACATACAGACGTAAAGATCTACAAAAATGTCTAGTGTCTGTTTAGAAATAGCATAATTTCACCTGCCTGCCTAAATAATTTCACAGTATTACTTAATTAGAACAGTCTCTCTCTCTGTTCACATAATATCTCTCTACACACATACACACAGTAACACACACGAGAGGGAAAGAGATATAGAGAGAGGGAGAGGGAGAGAGAGAGGGAGAGGGAGAGAGAGAGAGAGGAGAGGAGAGAGGAGGAGAGGAGAGAGAGGAGGAGAGGAGGAGAGAGAGAGAGAGA